GGTGGCGGCAGCTTTGCAGATCAGGTTACCGTTCCGGCAGGAAGGGCGGTGAAGCAGTGGCACTGGAAATATCGTCAGCCGACCGCTTATCTTTGACTAATAGCTGTCCTTATTGTCTTTATTACTTCCTTTCAGAATTGTTATTTTTCACAAATAGTACGAAAAACTGAATTACACAATAAAGGCTACTTATAAAGATTCCAGATGTGTTCTAAGTTTGTTCAGAACACATGTACCTCAGGACATCATACATGCACCTCAGGACATCATACATATACCTCAGGACATCATACATGTTACATGTACCTCGGGACATCATACATGTGCGTCAGGACATCATACATGTACCTCAGGACATCATACATGCACCTCAGGACATCATACATGTTAGGACATCATACATGCACCTCAGGACATCATACATGTACCTCAGGACATCATACATGTACCTCAGGACATCATACATGTCAGGACATCATACATGCATCTCAGGACATCATACATGTATCTCAGGACATCATACATGTATCTCAGGACATCATACATGTACCTCAGGACATCATACATGCATCTCAGGACATCATACATGTACCTCAGGACATCATACATGTACCTCAGGACATCATACATGCACCTCCTTCGTTCCTTCGTCATCGACTCCTCCGCACCATCCAGCGACCAACCGCTTCCCGTGAGTGGCGGCGGAGGCGCTCCCCTGCTGAATGCTGTCTCCATGCACCACCGGCCCTTCTCACGGCCACCAACATAATTCTCAAAAGGGCTATATATCATAACTGACGTTCCTTGTTTGAAATGAAAGCGTTCGTTTTCTAATTGGTAATTGATTATGACAATAATTAATCTAAAGATCAAAACACTAGCTGAGGCGTCCCATCAAGTGAAGGACTACTTTCGTATTACTATTAGTGGCGGCTTTCAACTTCAAGGAGATCAGGTTACCGTCCGACAGAAGGGCGGTGACGCAGTGGCGCCATTTGCTTGACATCGGCGTGGGAAATAGTCTAGCTGATGAAAGCGCCGGATTGACCAAGCTTGCACACACATGCACATAATCGATCAGTTTGGCGGGATTTATAGATGTACATGACTTGTATAAACGTCTAGTATACTTGCAGCTTCCTCCATCGATTCTTTGCTATTTATTTATTTCAACACCAAAAGCAAACCTTGCAGCAGGGATGAGAATCCCTGAATTGAAAGAGTTTGCGTACAGAAAATAAAAGTTACAATAGGCAAAACAAACACTATATACACACCCTCATATACACTATAATACATAAAGAATTTGTACCAAGCAAAAAACTATATACAGATGAGGTTTAGGAAAAATAAAACTTGGATTCTTGGTAATTGTACTATAGATTTAGGTGAATGTATGATTAGTTAGAGTTGGTTTATCGAAGGCTGCAAATAATATACAAATAATGTTGTTATGTTTCCTTTTCAGATTACTCAGGACAAAGCGAATCTTCGGATAAAGTACATGGTCGCCATGGTGTATCGACAACCGACGCCTATTCAACAAGAACTCGCGAGGAAGGCGGGACCTGCCAGTTTAATCTGTTCTTATATTACTTATACTAACTTATATTATTAAGATAATTTCGTTTTTCTGTGGACGTAGATGTCTTATCCTTTCTATACATATAGGTCACTACACGCAAAGTAAGAAATTACTGCTACGTATGACGTAAACATGGGTGTATTGTACGACCTACCTGAGCTGTGCACATGGGCCGCCATATCTTGTAACGTTGGTGCGATGTACTTACCTGCTCCAAAATGTATTTGCATTTGACAGCATGACTTCATACCTGATTTAAAGGTACCAAGGTCTACAGCACAGGTCTACTTTTCATGCTTCGTTATTGCCGGCCTATTACTACTAGTTTTATATAGTATTTACTTAGTAATTGACGATGCCACTTTGCTGTGATCTGAAGGAACCCCCTCAGCAACATCGATAAAATATTATTTTGAATGTATATAATATATTGAAGATATTTCGAATAAACAGTTACATGTGTTTGTAAATTGTGAAAAAAACGTATTATCACTTGTCTATTATCAAGTCAGATGTTAGGAACATTTAATGAACAGGAACATGTTAGTAGAAATTGGATAAAGAACAAAAGGTCAAGAACAGAACTGGAACGTGAAAACTACAAATAAAAGAAATGCACAAATCGTTGTGCCCGTTGAACTGTATCCCGAAGCATGGTCTTACAAGGCCATCCTGAAAAAGAGAAGACAATAGTTAAAGCATTTATTTATTCAAGAAAGGCGTTAAATACAGGATATCATTTACAATAAATTCAGTATGACAAAAAAAAAATAAAAAAATTCCTCCTGCGGGATTCGAACTCTCGGCGTCGCGAGTCTAAAACTACCATCCACTGTCTTACGCCGCTACACTACAGGGCGTGACTGACGCTCCAAAAATAACGCCTTTAGACTAAGCCTAAGCGTCTGATACTAAACTAGAAGATTAGTGTGTAAAACTAAAACCCTTCGTAAAACCTACAAATGTTGTTCAATACAATCACAAGAATAGTGTACAATTGATGTTTAATATGTACACAATATGAAACCTGTATTGAACATACTTCAGCTGTTAGTTGCACTCTTTTCTTGAATAGGTAAAAATGGTGTTTTATGCCGCGAAATCGTTTAGCGCGTTCAGTAGCGTTCATGCTTGCGAAACATGGCTGCCTTTCGGCGCCGGATCGAAACCCACAATGTTGTGTTGTTATTATGATATTATGATATATGTTTCAGATTGACATTTGCTGTATGTCGTTGTGTTACTATGTACTATACATGTAATCTATGGAAATAATCTGTGGAAATGTAAAGGGAGCTTTTATTTTTCAAAATATACAAATTTTACACGGTTGAAAATGTACGTAGTACGTTTCATTTTTAATCAATTATCTACGATATGCATTTTTTTTATATTTCAATCCTGTAAGACTATCCGTAAACATCGACGTTAACAATTACTAGTAAACGGAATGGACGCTGGCAAAACGCCTCGGAGCCGCCTACTCCGTTTTTGCACGTGGTTACCGCCGACGTCAATCATTCCGGTAGCCACGGAAACCGTCGCCATGGCAACGTACGTCGTTATCACGCCACTCAAAGCCGTGGCGTCGGTAGTCTTGGGAACGTTGCATGTCGTCATTACAACCGTGGTGTGTTTCCCGTGGTCTATAGGTTGTTTTTGGGGCAGGAAAAAAGACTACTTAATTCATACATTTCAGGCATTGAACCACCATATTCCCACTTTTTGGGCAGCATTCTGACAGCTTTCAGGCGTCAGGTGGAAAACGGCGGTATATTGGGAGTGTTTGGGGCGGAATTGTCCCATGTGCTGCCCCGATGCTGCCCCGATTCTCCCCAACAGAAACGCTTCACCGGCATTTCCCACCCACCACCACCACCCTAATACCACCGTGGGACAAAGACTACCCATGCCCTATTGCTGCCCTAAATCATACCGATCAACACCGGCCCGCGCACTGTGCTAAAAACCTGGCTGGGCGCTTTGACGTTGTAATCGATGAATCTTCAGGGCGACCACCAAAATTTCGTTCAAGAGACCTATGTCTACCCAACAGGATCTCACCAAGGTAAGTTATGTTTTTGTACCGTTCTATTCTAGTAAAGTTCCATCGACAAATAATAATAATAAACGGGGGACGTTAGAATAACAACCGCCCCCCTCCCCAAGTTACGAAAGTTTCACTCTACGTACGGCCGGACATTAGACGCTATAACCGATAAATCTACGGAGAAATCGCTGAACACTCCATAAATTTCCACCCACAAGACTCCAGGGCCAACATTTTTAGGTTTTTGTGGCTATATATCCGGCTAAACTCGATATTTTTCTCGATATTATATGAGTTTGCTGCGTACGTAGCATGTAAACAAAGTGAATCACATACGCTACTGAATGCCGCCCGTCCAAACTGTTCAAAGTCGGAAGAAACATGCATTTCTACCCGTCGAAATCGATCCCACATGCCCACAACAACATTCTCTACCCGTGAAAGCAGTAATTCCGGCAATATTTTACACTGGACGGGCAAAACTCATCGTTGAAGTTGGAGTATCGCTATCGAATGTGGAAGACTCCATTGTTAGGCCGCGTCAGGGGAAACCTCACCGCAACTGCGGTCTCGTTTTCGTGCGAGGTCACGCGTGGTCACGCCAAGGATGCGCTCTCGCGAGAATAGAATCATGTATCTGGAATGAGGTCTATTCCATTGTCGAAGAATTGCAACCACTGCATTATAGGTAAAGAAAGCATCCATATCTTGGCTATAGAATCAAGACAACAAAATCTCAAGCATTTTTTTCATGTGGCAAGGAATCTTACGTTGCATTAACAAAAGATGATTCCTTCTGGACTGACAACGGGTTACCATGGTAACAGTCATATGGGGAGGGGCGGTGTTTTGAGGCCCGCGCCCACTTTCTTGTTGTGTAATATCTGAACAGTTTCAGCTAGGACCACCAAACTTGTGACTTTTTCTCAAATAGATTTGAAAAGTTGAAGACTAAAGTACTCTAATACCATTACGTTTGACACTGGCTTTTTATTTCTTTCTATACTTTGGCAAGTCATCAACAGTTATGTCAGCTCCTACGGAGGTTGTGGTCATGCCTCATCTTAGAAAAAGATGCAGTTGTTAGGCCTGGTCTTTATGTATATTCATATATATTCAAATAAATTCATACATATTCATACATATTCATACATATTTATACATATTCATACATATTCATACATATTAATATATATTCATATATATTTATATGTTGGACATTTGGGAATGACTTTCTATTGGAAGGCCCCTCATCACATTATGAGTCGGACAATTCCCTTGATAAAAATTCTCCTTTTTGCCTGCAGGTTTGTAACAGGATTACCACAGTGCCACAGTGGTAACAGTCAGCATTGTCCTGCCACAGGAATACTGTACAAGTTGAAACCATAAAAATGAAAATAAAACTTTTCTATCTTAAAAAATTATCATGATAACCCTTTGTTAATCGAGAAAGAATATTTCGTGTGCACAAGGTACCTTTCCTTGCCACATGATAAAAATAACAAACTTCAGAATTTAATTTTGAAATTTTACAAAAACAGGCAATCTTTAACCTTCTACCACAGCTCACCGCAAAAACATTTGGAGCAAAACTTTATATCATTTTCTTTGTTAATATATGGATTATGAAATATGTTAGAGACAATAAAATATGTGCTATTTTCTGTGAGATACAGAAGGTCAAAGATAGTCTATTTTGAGCGAGACCAATGCCTTCACAAGGTGAAAATTTACGTCAATGCTGATAGATACGATGTCAAGCCTGATAGATACGAGGTGCCATCGTTTGTAATGAATGTCGAGTAAGGGTCCCAAATTTAAAAAAAAGGCTACGGTGAACTTTAACACATAATTTATTAGGAAATACGCTTTAATTAACCAATGCTACAATACAGGGCGAATCTAATTGTGTTGACCTTAAATGATGAACATTGAATTTGGCTTTAATCATAAATACAGATCTGGTTAATTCCGATAATAACTATGTATTAATTATTACGAATAAGGGATGATAGCCTGGATTGTGTAGTTTGTGTATTGTTACTTGTACATTATATGGAATAAAATCAAGTGATTATTGTTTTCTAATTTTGTTCACAACCCATTGTGTTTTTACACAGTCAATGTTATGCATATATAGGTTGTAGTTATTGAGCTTTGCCTTAAACCGCTTGTCAGGTTTACGGTATCTTGAGTAGTTACCAGGAACAGGTCCTCCCCTCACGTGATGGACTGCACAGAAGCTGCAAGCTGCCACACGGAGCCTCCCAAGAGCGGACAGGAAAAACTCTGCACAAAATTATGTCAAAACAATATCATTGCATCAAACCGGAATAAAAATGTGTAATGTTAAATGAGAATGAAATTGATAATGTGAATTTTTAAAAGACTGTTTTCTTATGGGAATACATAAATAGTTTTCGTCACTGTAAACGCTTATATAGGACACACCTTTAACCCCATTTAGTTACGAATTTTGGCAACTTTGGGCCGGGGAATGCATAAAATGGCATCATACACCTTCGAAAGTATTTCAAGAACACTTTTGAAAACACTTAACTTTGTTAAACGTAAGCTAATGATATGGTCTGGCAAGTTAAATTTTTATGACTGACGCCATTAAATCAACCTCAATTATACATTAATCAATAGTACATGTTAAACAATCAAAAATACATCAAGATACTTGAGCTGTATTGATGTTAAACCTGAAACGTTATTGTTTAAAATATCGATGTTCTAACTTGACAAGCATATCCGTCAGTTACTCCTTTGTATGGCAACATGATTTTTTCAATAAACCAAAAGTCAGGAATTATAAGTCAAACTTCAACATTAAAAAGCTATATGCTAAAGTGCAAATACTTCAAAAATTGATTACATTCCATGGAATATATGCAATTCTTTATTTATTCTAACTCTCTTTTTTGACAAAAATGTAATCAAAGCTCTAAATTTGCTTTACAGCAAGTGTTCATTTAAACATTTTAGTCATTTTACAACTTGTTAGTTTGGCTGTAAATTGAAAAAAAATTATTCTAAAGCCAAGACCGGCGATCAAAAATTGCAATTGCAATTGAATATGTATAAAAAAAGTTGTTTAGTTGTACAATAACAACCCTCCGACGGTTTTAGCCCACAAAGGTGACATAATGACACCATGTTACATAAAATGACATAAAATACCTTATGGTTAATTTGGCCACCTCGAAAAAAATGGTGATCATACTAGAGGTACATGTAGTTGTTGAGTAACAGGATGTGCGCCGCCACCGCCCCGGAATGACTAAACAAGCGTGTAATTTAAAAGAGTTACTAAATAGTGTAATTTATAGGAGTTACTAATCTATAGGAGTTGTAATTTATGGGAGTTACTAAATTTGCAGAAAAACTGTACGAAACACGTTTTTCATTTTTATAAATCATAGGCCCTGCTGGTCCAAATAAAGTAAAACAATTATAAGTTTATCTTTGCATTTCTAGATCTTTTAGATTGGAAATATGTAATACCATTGTGTCCGATCCGAGCGAGTAATGGGTGTGGATCGAAGCCGACCGCTTTGGCTTCATTGGTGGAGGCAAGAAATATATTTAAAACGGCGTCGTTTGCGTATATCCCTGGAATGACATACGATTTTAATTAACGTAAGGGTGCACTCAATTCATTTGTAAGTCAAGTGAACATGGGCATATTCAAATATTGTTATTTAAATCAGGACCACATGTGCATATTTTATCATAAAATGCTTTAATAGCTCTCTTTGTTTAAAATAAGACTGTCAAGAAATATGAAGTAAATCATGAAAAAAGGTTATCTCATTTGCACAATTAGAGACTGTGTATAACAATTTTATCATGAATTACAAATCGCAGTAAAAGTTGGTAAGATTTAGGTGGCGTTCATTCCCTTGTACATTCCGGATATGAAATAGATCTGTACACCCTTTCCTATCCACCGCCCGTCAGCTTTTAAAGTGTTTTATATATGAGCTAGGCTTGTGCCGCTTATGACTGAATATTATGGACATATTTGACCCCGCCAGAAAGACTTCAATGCTTAAGAGTGCCCCACTAATATTTTCATAAAGCTTTATCTGTGTCGGTAGTTATAAAAGTAAAACTTCATGTTGAACTTCATTCCAATTTCAAAACAGAGATTACAAAAATATCAAATTTCTAACGACCACTGTCGCCTTATCAAGATAATAAATGGGCAATCACTTAAAAAACCTCAAGTTGAATTAACCCATGCACCCATGTACCTGAAACTCACCAGGAAATCCGCGGATTTCACTGTAATATCCTGGGTCTGGTTTCTGAACAATGCACCTGTGTGTCTTCTTCCCGAGAGCTAGGTAAGTTGTTGGACTTAACCGATCCTGGATTCCCACACCTACCTGCAATTAAGTGATAAAGCGCGTTATGCATTAAGAATCCTAAATCTAATACATATAAAAACATGTGCTGTATACCCGCGGTGTATTTATTACCTCGTCCAGAATGTATTTTCCGGGTTGACTTTGCCGGTGCAAAAATATGACATCTGTCTTGTAGGATGGATGGGTGTATAGACAAAGGTCATGTTCTATAATGGATATTATGGCTTGATCCTAGCTAAAGACCTACTACTGGTTTACCGTAGTAGATCTCCTGTGCCCTTACTCTGATATTAATGCGAAAATTTACTGTGGCTGTTTGTTAATACATGGTGTGGACTGGAATATTGTTTTAATCTGGATTGTCATAGTTTCTGTAGATGCGGCCCTACGACCTTCCCTGACTTACTAATTCCGTGGCTCTGCTCCAGTCAGATATAGGAGAAAAATTGAATTTACAGGCCTACTTTGGACATGATGTGCTAATCGCAAAAGGGTTAGTTGTAATACAGAGCTGCCACAGACCGTTGCATACGATACTGAGCTGAATGCCCTAAATGCCCGATGATAAAGTCACGAAAGACCAGAATTTTATCCAAGTGATCTTGAATCTCGCCCTTTCGCCCGATTACGAGATAACACTGCTTTAACCCTATATAGGCCTGGGGGGGGGGGCTAAAAGTGCCCGCGGCAACTTTGATGTCACCTAGCGTCTGAACGGCTAGCGCTAGAACGGCCAAACTTGGTGACTCTAACAAGAATATTGTTGGCAACAATTCTCTATCATTCAAATAAGATAATGATTTTTTGTGTTGCCATGGCAACGGGTTTCTGACAGGCATTTTTTGCTAAATCTAGTAATTTTTGTTTCAACAAAAGAATTTTATGGGTTTTATGTCAAGTTACTCATAGTTTCTAATATCAATAACATCCCATATAATCTTATGTAAATTTATTATTAAATATGCATAATTTATGCTAATTTGATGACGTCATTGGCCAAAATTTAAGATGGCGGACCATATCATTAGAACAGGTATATACAGGTTATTGTCATTAAAATTTCATCAATACTTCCATTTCCGACATACCGTTCGCAAGTTCTGAGGGGGGGGGCAAATGAGACCCCCCCCCC